TATGAAATGTTCGGTTATACGAGAACTTAGCTGTTCCTTACTTGTTCTTGTTGACGGCCTTAACAGTATTACGATAACTGCAAAGTGGACACCTACTGCGCTCTAAAATGCATTGAAAGCAATTATGGCACATACATATATTTATTTTATCCCCTAGATAAAAGTGCTGATCGACACTTTTTCTTTGATCTCACAGTGGCTTCTCATCATTTTCTAACGCAATGCTGAAGAGTATTTTTAAGTAAATATTTGAATAAGGATTTGAAACCTCAGCATAAAGTAAACAAAGAGCATATTTATAAATTGGAAGTAAAGATCAGTTTTACGTAAAGTTCAAAATAATTTAGTGCTAGTTTTAATTCTGTAACCGAACTTGTTTTTGCGCTTAGCAGAAAAATGTTTCGCTTTGTTTTCATTATGTCGCTGTATTATACTTTGAGTTTTCAAATAAGATTTTCCTTCAGTCAAAATAAGAATTCGAATAAGATTTGCGATGACAATTGTGATGTGCAAATAGATGTCGTTGCAAAATTCATAAAAATTCACAACTTCCCATCGAACATCGATAAGCTGTTAGCCCCGAATCGGTGCAAATGAATAACGTGTTATGGAAAAGTACTCATAAATGTTTATTTCAGAGCATCCAAATGGTCTAGTTGTATGGAGGCAGCAGCAAAGAGCTGGAGGAGTGGTATTTACAAAATTCAGTTAGAAAAGATAAATATCACCGACTTGGAGGTATTTTGCGAAGAGGACGTTGATTTCGGGGGATGGATAGTCATTCAACGGCGCCAAAGTGACTCGATAGATTTTTATAGAACTTGGGATGACTATAAAGAGGGATTTGGTGACTTAAGGGGAAACTATTGGATAGGTTTGGAGAAACTGTACGCTCTCACTAATAGTTGTGAGCAGGAGTTGTATATTCAAATGAAAGCACGTCAAGGGGTTAAGTACTACGCAAAATATTCAGAGTTTCTTATTGGTGACGAGTCAGAGAGCTACACTTTAAAGAAATTGGGTATTTATAACGGGAACGCTGGTGATTCCCTACAGTATCATTCGGGAAGGAAGTTTTCAACTTATGATCGTGATAATGATGATTTTGCTGATAATTGTGCAGAGAAATATAAAGGTGGCTGGTGGTTTGGCGGATGCTATGCAAGGTAAGCACATTTTGCTTGTCAACGTTTGTGATGAATATCTTTATTTCTTAGTCATTTAAACGGAGTCTACGGAGATGATAAGGCGGGTGTACACTGGCTTGAGATAGAAATAGATGAATCTATGTCTTTTGTGCAAATGATGATACGTCCAACTCAAAATTGTTGGAGACGATTAATGTTGAGCAATTTACATGGAGCAAGCTTCCGTTAACCACTTAACTTCTTACCTACGGAATTATCGAAATTAATTAACCAATAAGTTTAAATTCAAATATGTAACTAAATTTTCGATTTCCTCCTTCTATTATAATTTCTAGTATATTTTAATAGTTTACAGGTGTTTCCGGATGAGTATAGGGTGGTTGTTCGATGTTGTGTAGTTAATCAAAAAGAATTGACAAGCATTAATCATTAGATTAGAAAACCGTTAAATTTATATATTTTTAATGTTCTTCTAATCTTTACACATCCTTTCAATTTAGTCAGAAGGTACAAATATTTTCCATATTTATTATTATTTATAATGTAAACGCAATGTTTTCTTTGTTTTCTTAATACCGACCAAAGTGGTCTCGAATGCAAAGAACAATTTGAAAAGGAGACATGTCAAATGGGCAATTTGATATAAAATGCGATCAAACAGACGAAGACATGAAATTTAGACAAGTATGTTTCGCAAGCAGGAGGTAATAACACCAGATATGTACTCGTATGACAATTTAGCGGCAATAATGTTTGATTATGGCACTACAAAGGTTTTCGTTTAATGGCGTTGGCAGTGACTATATCACATCCATTTACCTTAACTTTTAGCACGTGCACCAAGTTTCATTACGAATTCTCAATGCTTATGCGAGTTGCAACTCGCGCAGACGGGTGGACAGACAGACAGTCACCCGGATTTTAATTTATATATTAATATTTAATTTATATATAATATTTAACCTTATATTTATCTCGATTAGTTTAGATAAAACGGTTTTATTCTGCAGTAACATGTTACAAGAAAGGCGTTTGCGAAAACCCAACCAAATACGCTTATATGGTTGATATTGAGTACCTTAAATAAATTTGTCAGCTGAATAAGTGGAGGGTGCGGATTCGGTGCATTATTATCAAATTTAGTTATTTTCTTGATATTTATTAAATTTTTGGCAACCTTGCTTCGTGTATTGTAATTTGTACAGCAATCAAAGAAGCCCTAAATTAGCATGTAACATTTCATCCGCTCGCAATTTCAAGGAATCAAAGTCAGGGAAATACTTTACATATAAAAATTTTGCAAAAGATTTCAACAAGTACTATAATATTCAAAGAAACCGAGAATGCATAGCAATTTTGAGCTTAATTTTGCTAAGATATATGCGGTATAAAGCCAACCGGAATTTTGATGTTCTTATATCAGGTGTGTGGGGGCAAACGGTACAGGCTTGAAAAGTTTTGGTTCAATTTCAACAATTTTTATACGCAAGGTGTCATGCCTGAGGGTTCTATGTTACATTGATTTGGCGCAATCGAATCACAACTACCCTTATTTCCATACATCACAATTGAACAAATGAAGACATCGACATTACACAAATAGGGCGTCATCATTATCTCAATCCCAAAGCCAAAAATATAAGTTATATTAATTAAATTCAGATAGAGTATTTCCYGATCATAATTACCCCTTGTTCGGTTACACCATAACTTAGCTTCCTTAGATTCTGATTTTTAGTTTTTTTGAGGCACAGAGTTTCTACAATCATTGTGGTTAGTGAAGTTCCTCTGGTTCCGTAAATCACGCATTAGCTAATATTTTGTATCAAAATGTCAAATTAATAGTTTTCGATCTTTATGTTCTTACGTTTTAGGGGTTTTCACCGTYAAACCCTTTACGCATTATAAATATGTATTTTTAAATTTTAAACCAGCAGCTAGTGGAGCACCGATGATTCCCATCATACATAGGATTATCTAATCCCACTTCTATTCTCTTAATATTAATTTAACAAAGAAACACGGTGGCTGGTTAATATAAATGAAGGATTAACCTACCATAACCGGAATGCGTTGATTGTGTTTACCAATTGGTTGGTCATGGTGTCTGTTTTGGCTTAAGAAATTATCAAACACTATACTATAAACACATTTTTAAATAACACAATAAAAGTGATCATTATTCATTGTGTCAACTWGCTGGGTAGATCGGATCAGATATAAGTATGTATACTATATGTAAGTGAATACACATTGTGGGTGTTGTCTCCACTTTCTTTCCTGTGTATTTAAATACGTTAAGTATGCGTTTATATGCAATAAGTATGAGACTAACACCCGGCCAAGCTATCCCACATGCAGAGTAGCTGCCACTTGGAGCTTCTATCTCAGCAGCGCAAAATGTCATTGTTAATTTGCCACAAAAATATGCGGGTGTCTGTTTCATAATGTAATTAAAASTTCAACTTATTACAAGCGCTGGCACTCACCAACACACACAGCCACGAACACATATGCATACATATGTATGTATATGTCAACACTTATCAGGATGTATACTGTACATACATAGTATGCACACTCACAAACAAAATGTACACATACAAACCTACAACAACAATGCAAACAAGTAGGAATATTTGTTACATGTAAGTGGCGCTCGTATGTTTACTTGCCCCCATCCATTTGAGCATATCACCCCCAGCTTGTATGACACAAAGTAAAATATTTATTTTCTTTTGGCACCCCTATGGCTTTCATTTGCATTTTCACAGTGCGTTTTTTCGCTCTTTATTCAGTGCTTGCTTTCTCCTTTTTCCTTTATGCCTGCTTTTATTACGCATTGTTGTTTTTTCTTGCGCTTTTTAACGCAGCATGCACAGATTGTTTGCCGAGTTTAATGTAAAGTTTCGCGCATAAATTTTGACTTTCAGTGCAAGCTCGTATGTGAGTGTGTATATGAGTATATCGTATTTACAAAAAGATGTCACTTGAAGTTTTGGTGGTCTTTATTGGCTTGACACACAAATATGCATCAGTTGTGCGCTTGAGCGACTTACTTGAGGGGCTTAAAGTGCCTTAAGCCGCTTAGGTAAATTGTATGTGAAGCGGGTTAATTACTAGCATGGGTTTCAGCAGCATTACACAAACATTTAGGGATGGTATTAACAATAAAATTCTTGTCGAAGAGGAGAAAAACCGACATGCAACAAATTTTGCTTCTGCTTTAAATATTTAATTTTATAACCGATAAAGAAAKTCGAWAGATAAATAGGTTAAGTTACGTTARGATAGGTAAYGTGGCTAATCCTGATGGAAAGGGTCACGAAAAGAATTCAACTCAGAATCYCGGACCTTTCTCATGTCACGGACTTTTTAAGTATTTATCAAAAGGACCGCCATAAATCATATAATTATCATGCCGTTTCAAGCGCAGTCTCACGAAATAGACTACAGTGAATGAGAARGTATCTAGACTTCCTGCATACAAATTCGACATTTTGCGTCTAAAACTATTGTTTACYTCACCGCTTTAATAATTAAAAAACCGCTATATGCTAGAAATGCGACGAGATGAACCTTTTTATACTTTTCGCAACATGTTGCTACAGAGTAYAATAGTTTTGTTCACCTAACGGTTGTATGTATCACCTATCACTAATCGAAATAGATACAGGGTTATGTATATATACTCAGGATAGGGTTACCATATCGGTTAAAGTAAAAACAACAGGACTGATGCATATGTACTACAAAAACTCGTCAGATATTTCTCGATTTCAAGAACGCGTTCAAATTTGCCAACTGATCGATCTATTTGTTGTCGTCAATATGAAAATTTATCGAGTCTAAAAACTGAAGATTTAAATTAAACCACAAAATATTAGAAGAAAAATTTCCCATTCCGAATTCRGATTAAATTTATGATGTATAAATGTTGTGAGCACACTAGTGATTAGTAAATTATATATGTAAGTATGTATGAGACATATGTGTGACTATGATGCAGTCGCCTTTCCATGTGATATGATCGCGATATAATATGGTGTRCGTTCCAAAACTCCACCGAGCTCAACTCGCGCAGGAATTTTATAYCGAAAATAACCTGAGCGAGTTGAACTCGATCGATTTCAATTGAATTTTTAAAATACGAGTGTATGTATTAAATTAAGCTAAATCTTGATAAGTTGAGAGACTAAAGTGTGAAAGGCCTATTTGAAAGTGAAATTAATGAAAAAAATAAATGATTTCCCATTAGGAAGTGCAGAAAGTATATGGAGCGACTTAAAAGAGATATTTTGTACTACAGCAAAAAACTCTCTTGGARTTGAAAAGAATGAAAATAATAAAAATAATTGGATAACAGATGATATATTAAAACTACTAAGTAAACGCCGGGATTATAAAAATAGAAAAAAACATTGACAAGTATAGACAACTGAATAGAGAAATATGGAAGATGATCCATAATGCAAAAACAAACTGGATAAACAAATGAATGCCAAGAAATTGAAAGACTACAATTTTTTCATGACGCCTTCCATTTACAGAAAAAATTGGAAGAAGCCGCAGGTGGTATGGTGGATGACAGTAGATTGAAAAAGAACCTTCATCTTCATTATAGACCAACTGGCAATTATATTACGAAAGGCGTAATAGAAAGCTATACAACAAATGAAAAATTACGAAGCAACAGGCCCGGATGAGATTCCAGCTGAAAAATTAAAGTTAGTAAATGACAAAAATATGACTCTCTTAGTAAGGCTTTTTAACAATTTAATWTTTTTAGTAAAGCCTTATGACAATGGCCAAAATCCAAAAGACTGGTTAAAATAAACACTCATACCACTACCTAAGAAAAATAATGCGCAACATTTTAGTGAGTACAGAATAATAAGTCTATTGTTACATGCTCTMAAGATATTTCTAAAAGTCATTCACGCCAGAATATATAAGAATATGTGAAGAGTCAAAGGCAAGACGTAATTTGGCTTCAGAGAAGGTCTTGGAACTCGTGATGCATTGTTCTGTATACAAGTCTTGGTTGAAAACTGTAAAGATGTCCAAAAATTTGTATTTTCATGCTTTATTGACTGTGAGAAAGCTTTCGATACCATTAAACACTATAAACTTATGGAAATTCTGCATTCTATGGGAATARATGACAAAGGGATTCGTTGCATAAGAAATCTATATTGGCAACAAACTGCCCATGTAAGCATCAGTGGTGATATAACCGAAGAAATATAAGAAGTAATATTTCAAGAATCGGTTTCCAGTCCAGTGATCAAGGTGTGAAAGTGAATGGTATTTTCATAAATAATATACGCTATGCAAATGGCACTACACTTATAGCCGATATCTTGATGGGATTACAAGAACTTGTAAACCGAGTTAATTTACGTAGTGCCGAATATGGCCTACGCATTAACATAAACAAGACAAAGTATATGATTACAAGGGCGTAGCCAGGTCCGCATGTAGGGTGGGGCTGAAAAAAAATTTTTAATTCCAGTAACTTTTTTTACATTATTGTTATACCTTTCAAGCTAATAAAAGTTTTCTTGGATTCGCTGAAAACTCCTCCAGAATTTTCGTTTCCATTTCCGCTTGATTCTCTTTGACTAAAGCCCGGTTGGTGCTAAGCATGCACAACCCTGAAAAAATAAAATTTACGTACGTAATTATTTACAAACAAGTAAGGAAGAGCTAAGTTCGGGTGACACCGAACATTTTATACTCTCGCATGATAAAGTGATAATCGAGATTTCAGGCGTGGTTGTGAACCGATTTCACCCATATT